ATCTGTATATGTAACATTATATACAACATTAATTGTATGCTTTCAATGCAAAGCACGTAAATATATCCGCAAAAGTGTCACCTATTTATTTACTTTTAGAAATAACGTTAAAAACGTTACCAGTATATCTCTATTTCAGTATATGAAAGTCGTCGGTATATGTTGATAAAAACAATATATATAGTATATTGTTTTTATCAACACTATAAAAACAATATACTATATTCTAAAGATAACATATATATATATATATATATATATATATATATATATATATATATATATATATATATATATATATATATATCGTAATTCTGTATTGTGTTGTAATTGGCGAAATGTAGGGGCATTTGTAGATGTAAATGATTCAACCATAATTTATAAAAGAGAAAATAACAAGGGCAAGGCTTCTTTTTTATAGTGAGCCTCATAAGACAATTTTAAGACATTTTGAATAAAACTATTATTTACGGATTTTATCGCGTTTAATTACTTTAATTTATTTTTATTATTATCCCGACGTTTCGGGTGCTTTACAGCGCCCATGGTCACGGGGGGACTGAGATGTTTGACGTCCCAATGTCATAGTTAGTCCGGCTACCTTCAGTTTTTTAATATTAATTTTTGGTCCGATTTACGTATAAATAATAGTTTTATTCAATGTGTAGTGTTCGCGTAAATTTAAGAAATCATTAAGACATTTTGACATGTTTTCATATATACGATACACAGATTTAGAAATTGTTACCATGTTATGCAGGACGGCTGTAGACTTAGGATGCTGATGAATATTCTGTGTGTAGAAGTTATATTTTATGCAGCTTATAAAGTGATTAACTATTTTTACATACGTGATAAAGCCACGCTGCAGCTATATTATCGATGTACCACGAACGGGTCGGTTCGACCGGGGAAGAAATACACTCTCGTAGAATAAAATAGCTTAAAATAGCACCACCAGCGTAAAATAGTACCTTAATACTGCTGTGTTTCGTATGGTGAGTGTGGAGATCCGGAGACTTCTTTACTGGAAACGAGGCATTACATCTCAGTCCTTAGGGGTGACAACGCATCTGCGTTTTGATTCTTAATTGATTCTTAATGTAGATGTCTATGGGCCACAGCATCCATTTACCATCAGGTGGACTGTGTGCTCGTTTGTCACCCTTTTTTATACAAATAACAAGCACTTCGTATGAAAAAAAAATTAGGGACACTTTTCAATCAAAGATAGCCTTTGCCTATAATTCCCGAGGGGATATGCAGAGTCCAAAGAGCAGCTAGCTACTCTGACTACGTCTAACCAAATAATAATAATAATAATAACAAATAATAATAATAAATAAGTTGTTTAGATGGAAAATTAAGAAAGCAGTGTAGGTGATGGTTAGCTCATTGACTATACAATCAGAATTCCAGAATCCCATTTACGACATGCGAGGTAAGTACAACAGTTAGCGTATTTGTTTTTATTATAAGTTCCTCACAAACATGGGACTCAATAAGTCCCAAACCACTGCGTATCCTGGCAAGAGACTGGACACTATTGTGTTAAATAGCACATGTCCATTCTGGGACTAAGCATATCAAGGATGTGCCGGTTCTGTTATTTAACGGAAGAAACGACCTGCAAATCCTAACTGATTGTGGACCCAACTAGCGATTGACCCTTAATGCGCAACCGGAACACTCATCTGGGAAACTATGTACTTCGCCCAGAAGAAGTGAAATTGATCACAGCTAAGCAACTCCTTCTAATCATTGAAGACGTAGTTAATAGGGCTTAGCAGTGAACTATGGCCACAATAGATCTCATAGGTCGTAGTGATACTGATCTTTCTAGACCAGTATGGGAGTAATAGTACTATGTAGTACTACTACTCAAAATAATACACTCGAATAATATAAAAATCAATTTTAAACATACAGTCTTCTTTCCTATACTCCTTTTATCCTAATAATGATCGCAGTTAACCCCCTGACTAATTGGTTGTTTTTCTTAATATCATACTTGCTCGGTTAAATGTTTCACTATCATCTAACAACGATAAGAATCACTCGTTAAAACGAGTAAACAAACACATATAATTCAAATTTATTGTTTTTATGGGTACTTTTATGTGTTGCGTTACGGAGGGTCGCGCGTAAGATTGTAATATATCACAGATGTGTTAAACGAAAACTACGCAGTGGTATTTATACGTTTTTTAAAACTACAAATGTTAGGGCAAGCGACGCTTATAATTTTTTTAAAATGAAAACTGACCGATTTAATCGTATACTCGTAGATAAATTAAGAAGAACGCAAAAAAAGGTTCAATTTTTTCTATTATAATTATCGTGCGTACTGGCCACAAACATTAGTGGGTAAACGAACGTATTGAAAAAGTTTTGGAACTATTTTTTTTAATATTTTTTTAGTTTTTATATAATCATTGAGTAATATTGCGTTTTTTCATACTGCGAAATTTATTGCCAACTTTTGAATTTAAGTTTAAGTAAGTTATTTATCGTATTAAGTATTTACTAAGAATGCAAGATCTAAACGCCACTCAGGTTGGTAAGGCCGTTACTTTAATTGAAACTGGGCACAAAACATGTAGCTTAAATATTACAACTATCAAAATCTTTGATACGCTGAGTAGTCAAGAGGTAAATAGGCTGACCGTATAATAATAGTATACGATACTCGCAGGACATTTACATTAAATGGAAAACTGGTCAGAGATGATCGGTTTATCGGTACCAGCGTATTTAGAAACCGAATCTTAACTTTTTCTAAGGTAGGAACAAAACACCAGGAAGTTCGTGGGCTTATAATAAACACAAAAACTGTCAGAAAAAGGCTAAAATCGGCTGGAATAAATTCACTTTTGCCTGCCTGAGGTCCCCTTTTTTCCACAAGCCATCGAGTAGCTCGAGTTAATTTTTCCCGCTAACACGAAAATTTAAATGATGAAGCTTAGAGTCAAGTTCTATTCACAGATGTGTCCAGATTTGCCTAAATCCAGATGATGGAAATATTAAAGTGTGGAGACGCTCGTAAGAAGGCATTAAGTTCGGTTGTAGTATGGAGAGGTGCGCGTATGGGGGCACGTACGGAATTCCGAATCATTGAGAATGGGTCACTAACAGCTGCACAATATATAACAGAGATTTTGGAATAAATTGTAATGCTACATGCCCCTTTTACAAGGGGATTTTAGATTTGATTTTATGCATGATATATGCTGCGGCCTTGACTGTCAAATACCTTCAAGACGTTGAAATTAATGCAATGGGGTGGCCAGCGCGCTTGCCTGAATTAATCCCCCTAGAGAATGTATGGGATACGCTTGGAAAACAAATTAAGATAAGCAATCTTGGCCCCGCTAATTTGAAAGATCTAATAACGCATTACATAAAGAATAAAACGATTGCGTTCTCAAGACTTTATTGATAACTTGATTGCCAAGGGGACTGGAAGCAGTTCAAAGAGCTAGAGGGGGCAACACTAAGTACTGAATATAGCTCACGCTATAGCTTTTCCTAAGCATTTAGGCAAATAAATGAATAAAATGTTAGGTACGAAAATTATTTTTTCCTCTAAAATTTTTATTTTTTCCTGAATTTGGTTCTTTTTTGTCATTTTTTCGTTTGTTTTTTCGACATTTGTAATTTTAAGTTAACGAATATTTAGCAAAATCCAAATTAACAAACTCAATTGTCACAAATGTCCAAGTTATTTTGTCTTGTGGACACTTTTTGTCCTTTTTGTTGTTCTTAAGTATTAATTGTACTCAATTACAATAATTATTTTCGAAGAAACTGAAATTATTTTTTTAAATAATTTGTAAATTGCCATATGTAAAACACTTCAGATACTACATACTTTTAAGACAAAATGTAGCTTATCAGTACCTTGTTTTTGCCACCCACATTTACGTGTTAAATACATATTAGTAAGTAGCATAAACTACTAAGTAAAACAAAAAGCAGAAAAAGAGATTAAAAAAATGATCAGAAGCAAAGAATCTAAAGGCAAACGCATTTTACAATTTTATCTGTGGAATATTTATACCTCAATCTCCAGAGTTTTATTTCGTGATGAATGTTACATGCTATCGGAGGAGAAAAACATTATCAATCATACTACCAAAATTATGTTTTTAAATTTGTAAGTAATCTAAAATAAAATTAAGATTGTCGACATAAATGCAATCAATACAGTAGAGACCAAAGTGTATATTTCGCGAGGCGACATCTTTTGATTAGAATTAAGTATAGGCCCATCAAAAATATGGCTGTGCTCGGGATTTCTCTGCGTGATAAACTTAGAAATGAGGATATCCGCAGTAGAACCAGAGTTACCGACATAACCCAACGGATTAGTAAGCTGAAGTGACAATGGACCAGCCATATAGACGAACATATCGAAGAACCGACAGCTGAAAAAAGGTTCTCGAATGACAGCCTAGTACCGGTAGTCGTAGTGTATGGCGAACCCCCACTAGATGACGACCTGGTAAGACATGCAGGAAGTCGATGGATGCAGGTAGCTCAGGACCGTGCTTTGTGACATTCCTTGGGGGAGGCATATGTGATGATGATGATGAATGTAAATCATAAAAGAAAACATCTTGAGCACAATACAGCACATGTTATTAAATGTCTGACATTATTCAATATTTTTTAACTTGTAAATGCAAAATATTTTGACCCAAGAACCACTTTAGTCACATTTCCTACCGTTAGTGATATAAAATATATCCCAAACTAATTTCCAATAAAAGATATATTAATACCTTAAATACGAGAACATTAAAAAATAATTTTATGATTTAAGTTAAACGGTGATATGAGTTCAACTATTTTGTCTCAATAGTTAAACTCATAAAATTATTTATATTCAGTTAAAACTGGAAAGTGGGGACTAACCTGTACAACTCTCGTAACTAATTTATGTCAAACTACCATTATAGTGTTCGTTACTCGTATAAAAATAAGCTCAAGCAACTTACCGGAGCCACTGGCAAATAGGAAGTCCCTGTGAAGGGAAGACGTCTTCAGGTAAGGGTAAAACAGCTTGCTGCCTGCCGGAGCCGTTCACCTCACTACCACAGAACAAATAATATTAACAATTTAATAATTTATTCGAAAGATGTGATAAAAACTAATACTATTTATAAAAATGTTACGAGCTATATTGTTAAACCTGTACGGTGTTTGTCATGGTGTCCGAATATCCACTAATTCGTATCGTCCCATGAATGTCGTAAAACACATTAGTGTCTTCCTTATAACAAATAGAAAATAACAAACTGCGGCTGTCATCCTGCCTACCAAGCGTGGCAAATATGGCAAGTCACTCCCTTATGCGGCAATATTTGTGAATCTCTGTAATGATGATGATGATGATGATATTACTAAAGTAATTATTATTTAGCGACAAATATTCCTCTGCTGTTATTTCAGTGTGGTGGCGGTATAATTATTGTATCCGTCATACTATATATACGTGGTAGAGCCATGCTACAGCTATATTATGGATGTAGCACGAATGGGTCGGCTCGACCGGGTTAGGACCACGCTTTCATAGAATACCAGCGTAAAATTACAGCTTAATGCTGCTGTGTTTCGTATGGTGATTGTAGAGAAAAGGAGATCTTTTTTTACTGAAAACGAGGCATTCTATTTTAGTCCACAAGGGTGACAACGCATCTGCATTTTGATTCGTAATCAAGGATATATGTAGATTTCTATGGTCCACAGCAATCACTTACCATCAGGTGGATTGTGTGCTCGTTTGTCACCCTATACAATAAAAAAACAAATATTAAAAATAAATTCAAAAGCTTTTTCTTATGAATTATCTTTTTTTAAAGTGTTAAATATGTAATGTATTTACTATAGTGTATTTGACGTAGACTATTTCTCAATAATTTCGTAGATTTCTATAATAAGATTTCTCATTGTGGAACTGGTTATATAAGTAAGTTTGCTCTACTGGCAACCCTGTAATCTACGGCCAGTGCACGTAAGCGATCAACGAATGTTTAACTTTCGGCTTATCCCTACAACCCGATGTCAAAATTAAGTAACCTTATTCATTTTCAGCACGCAAAGATCGTTATAACTTATATAATAGGTCCTTACATACGAATTTGGCGTTTGGTACGGGAGGAAGATAAAGTCAATTTTTTTTAGTAAAATATATTTAATTTATCAAAGTATGCACCGTTGTTATCTATGCAATTTTGCCGTGTCATAGGTAGTTCATTGATCCCTTTACGAAAAAAACCATGAGGGCGAGAATCAGTTTCTTTCAAGGCGGTTTGGACTGCCGCATCGGAGTTGAATTTTTTTCCTTGTAAGAAGTTGTCCAAAATTCTGGAAAAAATGGTAATGGATGTCGCAGACATTCCAATTGTTGCTCATCTATCTTAGTGGTTGTTTGTTGCGCAATGTGTGGTCTTGCGTTGTCGTGAAGCAGCAGTGGCCTAGAACAATTGACCAATTTCGGTTGTTTAGCAGATAGTTCTTCCTTCAAGGTTTGACAATAAATATCTGCCGTAATCGTTTGGCAAGATTTTAGAAAGCTGAAGTGAACGACACCGGCGCTAGTCCACCAAACACTTCTTACAAGTAATTTTTCTGAGTCAATTTTCGTTTAGGGCAGGATTTGGCTGGGTCTCCAAGGTTCAACTATTGTGACGAGTGCTTCCGATTGTCGTAAAGTATCCACTTTTCATCACAAGTAATGATTCTATTTAAAATCCCTTCGTTTTTGTGTCGGTTGAGCAAAGTAACACAGCAGTCGACGCGTGTTTGCAAGTTCGTTTCACTCAATTCATGAGGTAATCATCAATCAAGTTTTTTTACTTTCCCGATTTGCTTCAAGTGGATTAATATAGTTTTATCACTTACTCCGAAGCCTGCAGCTATCACTGAAGTGCTTTGTGATGGATCCGCTTCCACAATAGCCTTTAATTCTTCATTTTCCACTTTGGTCTCCGGCCGTCCACGGGGTTGGTTTTGAAGGTCGAAATTTCCAGAACGAAAACGTTGAAACAGAAAACATACCGTGCTTTCCTTTGCGACATAGAGTGCCGTACACATCATTAATCCTTCGAACTGTTTCTGCAGCACTGGTGCCACGGGAGAACTCGTACTCGTAAATATACTGATATATCTTGTTTTCCATTGTGCGGTAATAAGCGACGCCAAAGAAAAAATAATGAGGAAAATACAAATGAATGACAACAAATTTTCAAAACTCAAATGCATCAGCTAAATGAATTTATAAATTTGAATTTAGAATTCCTAACCAAAGAGGAGATATTTCAGATCAAAATAGTCAGTACGACAAAACACTAATTTCGTATGCAAGGACCCAATAGTTCTGGATCTACAGGAATTAAAAAGTACGCAAGCCAAATAGCCAAGTGACGGATGCAGCTGCTATAAAATATGAATGGTTGTTATTACCGCGATGTTACAGTTCTAAATCTGCTTTTATGTAATTTTAGGGCAAAAAGAAAATCGTTTTATAAAAAAATTTACTTACGCACAACGTTTGTGTCAAGAAAGACACACATTACCAAAAATTGTTTTAAATTAATCCTAGAGTGATAATGAACCACTATAATTTTTATATAATTTTTTAGACCGAATAGTGCCATAAAAATAATTTTAATCTATCGTTTTAAATTTTCGCGTCAAAACGCTAGGCGCCATGTTGTTCAACTCGTGACGTCACAGTCGTCGATTTTGCCGATTTTGCAGAGGAATAAGATACTTTTTAATCTTTAATAATGAGTTATCATCTAAATCATTGTTGTAATGTACCTGAATGCAAAAATACGAGCATAAGTTATGAATTCAAGTTTGAATATAAGAAATACTTGGTTAAAACTGGCAAGAAGATACCCGAATACATTGTCTACAAAAACCAAACTATTCTTCTGTGAAAATCATTGTGATGTAGTCATCATCATCATCATTATAGCCCTTCACAAGTCCACTGCTGAACATAGGCCTCTCTCAAGCAATGCCACAAAGCACGGTCCTGAGCCACCTGCATCCATCGACTTCCTGCATGTCTTACCAGGTCGTCACTCCATCTAGTGGGCGGTCGCCCTACACTACGCCTACCGGTACGAGGCTGCCACTCGAGAACCTTTCTTCCCCATCGGTTATCGGTTATTCGAGCTATATGACCGGCCCATTGCCACTTCAGCTTACTAATCCGTTGGGTTATGTCGGTCACTCTAGTTTTACTGCGGATATCCTCATTTCTGAGTCTATCACGCAGAGAAACTCCGAGCATAACCCTCTCCATAGCTCGCTGAGCGACCTTGAGCGTCCTCATACGGCCAGCAGTGAAGGAACACGTCTCTGATCCGTAAGTCATCACTGGCAACACGCACTGGTTGTACACTTTAGTTTTCAGAGATTGAGGTATACCTGACGAGAAGATGTGTCGTAATTTCCCGAACGCTGCCCAGCCGAGTTGAATCCGTCGATTGACCTCTCGGTCGAAGTTGGACTTACCTAGTCGGACTATTTGTCCCAGGTAAACGTACTCGTCAACAACTTCGAGCATAGTGCTCCCAACAACGACCGGCATAGGTGTGACATGGACATTAAACATGATCTTTGTTTTGTCCATGTTCATCTTAAGACCTATCCGTTGGGAGGCACTATTGAGGTCATTGAGCATAGTGCTAAGGTCCTCCAGGGATTCTGCCATAAGGACTATATCATCGGCAAATCGAAGGTGAGTGATGTACTCGCCATTGATGTTAATACCGTATCTTTTCCAGTCCAGTAGCTTGAAAACGTTTTCCAACGCAGCGGTGAAGAGTTTCGGGGATATAACGTCACCCTGTCTTACACCTCTCTGCAGTTGGATAGGTTTCGAACTCTGGTTCTGTACTCGGATAGCCATCGTAGCCCTACTGTACAAACACTTCAGCACTTCTATATACCGACAGTCAACTTGACACCGCTGAAGGGACTGTAGCACCGCCCAAATTTCGACGGAATCAAAGGCTTTCTCATAGTCCACTTAAGCCAGGCAAAGTGGCGGATTGTACTCTTCGGTCTTCTGTACAATCTGCCGCAGGGCATGTATGTAGTCTATGGTACTGAAGCCTTTTCGGAAACCGGCTTGTTCGGGAGGCTGGAAGTCGTCGAGTCTGCGTGCGAGACGATTCGTAATGACTCTCGAAAACAGCACGTAGACGCGGCTCAGAAGGGAAATTGGTCTGTAGTTCTTCAAGAGAGCATTGTCGCCTTTCTTAAAGAACAATACCACCGCACTTCTGCTCCACGCCTCCGGAGTAGTGCCATTATGGAGGACGGAATTGAAGAGCTTCTGAAGGACTTCAAGTACCGGTGTTCCTACCGCTTTCAGAAGCTCCGCTGTAATTCCATCCTCGCCTGGGGCCCTGCCGTTTTTAAGGTGATGGAAAGCCATTCTAATCTCGCTCAGACTGACGTCCGAGATATCATCGGAATAGTGTCGGGTAAGACTTGCTCTTGGATCGTTACTCACACTTGCGTGTGGCTACAACGATGATGTGTATAGCTGCCCATAGAACCTCTCAATCTCACTCAAAATCTCAGGTGTCCCGGAAACGATGCTGCCACACTCAGTCTTCAGCCTTGACAGTTGGTTCTTACGGGCAGACAGATTTCTGGCAAAGACTTTGGAGCCCTGGTTCTGCTCGATCGCTTCTTTAATACGAGCAGTATTAAAGTTGCGTAAGTCTCGCCGCATGCATTTGGAGATCTGTCTGTTCAGTTGCCTGTATGCTGTCAAATCTGTTGACGATTGCAGCCTCATCTCCCGTCTAACAGCCATGAGATTAAGAGTGTGATCGGAGAGTTTTTGTGTTCTTCTGCTGCGGGTCTTCTAGAACTTAGCTCCGACCGCATGGACAGTTTCCACGAGCTTGTCATTCATATCGTCCACTGCATTGCAATCTTCTAGGCACTGAAAGCGGTTACGTTACTCGAGCTGAAAAGTCTCGGGATTCTGGATTAGATCACGAGGGGGACGGAGCGTTGACTTCATTAGACGAGACCTCTCCACCTTAACGTTTGGGTT